TTCTCTGCTTGGGGATTGCAGGAGGGAGATTTTGGCCTCGTGCTGTGGTGGTTTGGGGGGGGTCTGAGTGGTGCTGAGAACTGGTGGTGCCACTGGGTTGTGAATGACAATCACAGGAGCTGTGCCAGGCTCCTGGGAGGACACGAGGCATCAGCCTCTCCTTCCTCCCAGTCTCTACATTCACACTTCTGCTGCTGGGAGTACTGGTGGGATAATGAGTTTTTTACAGTGCTGTCTCCTAGAGCAGCTGAGTGCAGTAGCTAATTAGCAACTGGTCTGATGGATGGTGGCACAGGAGCCGGGAGAGAGATGTGCAGGCTGGAAAGGCACTTCCCCTCTTCCCTGTGCTAGCCCATGGAATGGGAACAGCCCCCACCCCTGCTATTCTGATGTGGGGAAGCACAGAGCTTCCAGAGCAAGACAGAACTTGTGGTGACCAAACTTACTGACTGGGGGTAAACAACATTCTCAGTCAGCATCTGAAAGATAACATGGAACACCAGTAGTTTCAGAGCTGATTTTGGAGTTTGGCAGCCACTGAAGTGTGGTGAGATGCTGGGGTTCACTTTTGTGTGGAGAAGGGAGAACCTGGGATCATCCAACAGTTGGAGCTGGGCTGTTCATTCACAGCCCTGTGGTTGGAGCAATACTGTGGGTAGGGTGAACCACTGTCCTAAAAATGCAGGACGTCCTCTCCCTTCTACATGAATAAATGATGGATGAAATGACTGCTGTATTGTAAATGGAATTTATAATGTTAATGATATAATACAGTCTCTTGCCACAACGGGTCCATTCCCAAGTAATATAAAAGGTCTCCTTCCTTGTCTTTTTAAGCTGCTTGGAAAGGAGCCCAATGCCTTATTCTTTAGTGCAAATAAATGTGAGCTAAGCAGCCTTGGACATCCAATATCGCTGACACGAGACCTCCTCACCATATGTACCTGTCTGCTCTGGCCTTGGCTAATTTGCCACCAACTCCTAGGAAAAGCATGATGGAAGTGAAGGTGGTTTGAGAGCACATCACATCTGTTTTTGGGAAAATGGAGAAAACCTTATTTTATGGCCCAACAGGCTGCACTGGTGCAGCTGTTCAGTGTCGTCACTGATTTCACTGTTGCATAAAGCAAGAACTCCCTTTGCTACAGAGGAATCCCATCAGTTTCCCCCTCTGTTTTAATAAGTGAAGTGATGCAGAATGGGGTCAGGATGGAGCTTTTGGAGCCTGGTATTGTTGCTGACCAGGACAAATGGGTGGGTTTAGGCTTTCCTCACACGTTTCACCCTGCAGTGAAACTTGTTACAACACGCAGGGAATCAAAATGCCAAAGGAGCCTTTAGGAGGGTCTGAAGCTTTTCTCTGCATCTCAAATCAGGGTGTGATTTTTTTTTTTTTTTTTAGCCATTTTCTATGTGATTGTGGCCAAACTCCAGCTCCCTGCCAGCAGGGCTGGGAAGAGGGGGGATACAGAGCTCTTCAAAACCCAGCTCAGCTCTTGTTTCTGAGTGAGAACACTCAGCTCCTCCTTTATACTTCATTTTATTTACATTTGAGTCTTTTCATGAAAGCCAATTACAGAGCAGAACTGGGAGGTGAGACCGTATATTTTATTCCCACTAAAGTGTTGGTTCTCTCCTCCAGCCTCTGCAGGGCTCCTTAGGAGTCCTTAGGAGTCACTCCTGCAGATGAGATGTCTGCTCCCTCATCTTTGAAAACCCAAATAACATACCTGGGAAGTGCCAATGGAATTCTTCCCCCCCCCTCCTTCTGTCTCCAGCTCCTAGGGACTCTTGGTTTAACATTTTACATCGGGCAGGTTTTTGTTGCCTTGGGGCTTTTGGTTATTTAGATGTGCTGGTGCTCTAAATAGTTAAAATCAGAGTAGAAATTTGAGGTAAACAAGAAAAATCAAAAGCTCTACTTCTGCTGTTTGGAGAGGTCACTTTTTTGCAGACAGAAGTGTAATTTAAAAACTTTTTCAAGGGAATCAAATGCTGGTGACAGGATGCACATGGAGGCTCTTGAAAGAGTGCAAGTGGCTTTTCTCAGAAAGAGAAGTACCTTTTGGTTAACCTTTCTCCAAGTAAAGCATCAAGCTCATTGGACAACTTCTCCCATTTGGAAGCATTAACTGATGTACAAATGTTTCTGTCTTAAAGAAGATGAACTTTGGGATCTGTGGGTACTTGTTGTGATGGTTTCTCTGTGTTATTTCAATAATGCTCAGTTCTCTTTGTGCAGACACCCCTGTGCTAACAGATGTCTGCAGTTAATGGATCTTCAGTGCTGAAGCTTTCAGAAGCTTCAAATTATTTTCTTAAATACCAAATGTAAGTTTTTCTGTGAGAGGTTTTCTTTTCTGTCTTGCAGTGGTTTGTGTTATGTGATTTCAAGTTCTACAGCATGTTGGGACAAGTAAAATGCTGTCCTGATGTCCCACACATGGGGCTGGCTCTGTGTCTGAGCTGTACTGCAGGCAGAGCCATGGGAGGGACATCCAAAACTTCCCCCTGCTCACGGCCTTTAGGCCATTTGATTTCTTCTGTGGGGTGGAACATGTGTTTGTTCTTTGCAGTCACTGATTCAGAGGGTTTTGCTTTTGCACGACTGGGAAGAGCCCAGGGATGGTGCCCTTGGTGTGGAGGGTGGGCTTGTGGTTTTGTTCCCCAGCATTTTTCAGGTGTCCTGTGGCTCAGCTGCAGGAGGGTTTGTGCTGCAACCTTCTGCTTCTGATGGGAGTCACAGAACCAGCCACTGGGCTTTGGTTATAAAGCAGGTCCAGGGCTGAATCTTACTGGTATTCAGGGCTCATAGGGAGGTGGTACCATCTCTGGAGCTGAGTTTGGAAGCCAGTGATGCTTTATTTTAAAAATGTCTAGCTGAAGATGCCCCTGCTCAGTGTAGGGGAGTTGAACTAGGTGACCTTTAAAAGGTCCCTTTCCACTCAAACTGTTCTATGATTCTAAAGCCCCAGAGCCAAACAGCCAACACCCAATCAACCAAGAGAAAATCCCCAAACCTCAAAAGGTCTAGTGCAGGGGTCTGTTGCCTTCAGCAGTCTTCATTCCTGGGCTGTTCTGAGCTTCGTTGTGCCCTTCTGAGGTTATTTTCTGCAGGAATTTGGTGCTGCTGCTTGGCACGTTCCTGCTTGCATTGCAATAAATGTGAATCTGCTGGGAGCAGAGCTTGTCTGGGATATGGCTTTATGAAACAGTAAATTTTCTGATGCTTAATCTAATATTCTAGAGAAAAACACCAGTACAGGGAAAGGAGAATGTTGCTTCACCTTCCAGAAGTGCCATTAGAGATCTTGATCTTGTTATGGCCTTTTCTCTGCTATTACTTGTAAGAACAGTAACATGATGATTTAAATCTGTGGCAGTGAGGAAGTACAAAGAAAAGCAAGTGTTGATACCAACAGAGAGTGTTACAGACAGGGAGGCACTGCTGGGGCCAGCCCACTTCCTCAAGGATCAAATCTCAGCAGGGGGAGTTTAACCCTCTTTTATTTTATAAGCCCTTCGTCCTGCCTTTGTGATGTTAAATGCTGCTCCAAATGTGCACCAGATTTGTGTTGCTCTTTGAAGTGACAGTGGAGGCTGAAGCCTGGACTGTTTGAAGCTCCTGGCCTGGCTCAGGGAGCATCCTGGAGTTGGGATGGGGACCAAGGGCTGCTCACCTGTCAAGGAAATCCAAATCTTTGGATATGACAACACCAAAGCTCTTGTGTCTGTGACATTCCCATTGTTCTGACTGAGCTACATCATTTCTTGTCTCTGATTTCTCCTGCCTTTGCTTATGCACTTGGTTGCAAATGCCTCCTCAGATAGGGGCATGTTTGTGAGCCTTAAATAAGTTATCTAGTCCCTGTGATCTCTATATTGAAATTCTAGGCTGACAAAATAAAGAGCATTGTCTGCAAAAGGTGCATCATAGCACCAGCTGGAGGCAGGGGGAGCTGGAATGGGACTGGGACAGCTGAGGTCCCCCTGGAGAAGCAGCCCTGGACTAGCCAGCCTTCTCCTGCCACAGACTCATTTGGAAATGGCCTTTCCACACAATACCAGTGCTTAATGCATCACCCAGGCTTTGTTCGTCATCTGCAGTTAGTAGTCTAACCTAGGTTCAGCAAAGTAATTAGGAGAAATAATTAACAGCTCTCTGTGATGAGGCAACCTCTCTCTCCCTCCCCTCTCCCTCACCATGTGGTGCACCTTGGTAGTGACTCAGAAAACACAAGAGGACATTATGAATCAAAAAAATAAGTCTTTACCTGTAATTAACTGTGCACACAAAAAGGAAAACGTGGTGATCAAGCAGCCATTAATAGTTGCTTTACTGGAGGAGAATACACCAGAATCAAATGCTCATGGCAAAATGTCCCTTTAAGTTGTGGTTCTGTTATAACATTTAATCCAAACAAAAATAAGTCTCTACCAAAAAAAGTATTTGAACCGTACACTATTCGGACATGTGTGGATAAGACACTGCACTCCTCACGTACCACGGGCCTCGTGGCCCCTGTGTCCTCCAAAAGTGCAAGAAAACAAAACCCAGCAATGAAAATACAAAATCAATGCAGCAACTAGAGTTGTAGGCAACAGTATGTGCGTGGCCCGGCCAGGCCGATGGTGGGATGTGGGACTATGCAGCAGGGATGGACCAGAGTCCCCCCTTCCCTCCCTCCCCTTCCCCTGCCTGTTGTGTCGTGGGGCTCCGGAGTTGTCATGACAGGCTCTTTTGAAACAGGACACTAAGAGGAGGAAAAATAAAAAGAACACCCCAGCCTATACCAAAGTAAAGAAAATAAGAATAAAAAAAATCTCCCTTGGATCGCGGCACTATTTCAGCAGGGCCCCGGCGGCCCCGGCCCCAGCTCGCCCTGTGTGGGGCAGGGAAGGAGAGTCCCTGTGCAGAGGGAAGGACGTGCCCACGCCCCTGGCACAGGCTGGTGCAGTCCCCACACTCCACAGCCAGCTCTGGGCTGGGCCACCCCAGCTGGGCAGGAGCCAGCCCCGGGTTCTCTGCGGATACCTCTGCTGGGAAAGTGGGCCCAAAGTTGTGCAAGTCCTAGCGTGAAGGAAGGCGGAGGAGACGGTGGGGAGAGCCACCCGTTACCTTGGGCTCCCCAGGTCCCTCGGGCGACGTGCCTGGGCTGGGCCCCCCGCCCTGCGGGGTCAGAGGTCCCCCCAGGCGCGCAGCTGCAGGGCCAGCACCCCCAGGGCGACCGTGCCGAGGCTGCTGCCCACACCGGGGGCACCGTCACAGTCCTTCTTGTCCACTTCACACCTGGACTGCTGGCACAGCACCCCCTTGAAGCCCACGGGGCAGATGCAGCGCTGGTTCTGGTAGCAGGTGCCGCCGTTCTGGCAGAGCAGGAGCTCGTCGTCGCAGACGTTGGCTACGAGGCGAGAGGAAGGGATGGAGGGAAGGGTGTGGGTGTTAAACCCCTTGATTGCAGCAGGAACTAGAAGCTTTTAGCTCCTAGTGGTTCAATTATCCAACCCTCATAGTGCTAGAGCACTTCCAAGGCCAGAGGAACACAGTGGGAGGTGCAAACTCCACAGACAAAGCTACAAAGTCGTTTTGGAGTTGGGAGGAATGGCCGGAATCTGCTCACCCTCCACCCCGAGCATCACAGTGCTGAAGATCCCCCTCCTGCCTGGACCCATCCCCACGTCCCCGTGCCTCTCCAGCCCCGGTACTCACGGAAGCAGCCCTGTCTCCAGTAGTAGTTGGGCAGGCAGTCGTCGCACTTGGGCCCCGTGGCACCTTCCCTGCATTCACAGTAGCCGGTCTCGTTGCAGCGGTCGTGCATGGAGCCGATCTGGTTGCAGTTACATTCTATCCAGAGACATTTTGGTCAGAGCCTGCCCTGCCTGGAGCCTCTGTGCATGCCCATTCCCTGAGGGAGGCGTTGGGGACTTTGGAAAAGCCCAGCAATGTGCTACAGGAGGGACATTACAGACCAAGGAAGGACATGGAGGCCTGAGACACTCTGATGGTGCAAACAGCCATGGGTGCAAAGGCCACCCCTCTTTGGAGCTGAGCCCCTCCTGGCTCAGGTTGGACAGGGCTTGGAGCAAACTGGGATAGTGGAAGGTGTCCCTGCCCATGGCAGGGGGTTGTAATGAAATGATCTTTAAGGCAGATCCCTTCCAACTCAAACCATTCTGTGATTCTGTGATATTATCTGGGGTTTGTTTTCAGGGAAGAGCTCCCTTGGGAAGCTGCACAGACTGTAATAACCATCATCCTCGTGGAACACACAGGTGGGCACACCATCCTCCGGACAGGGGCTGAACCGAAGCCCACCCCACAGAGTGAGGACCCAGATGAGCCATCCCACAGGCCGGCGGCCCTGCCCGGGGCTGGCACACTCACCTATGCAGACATTCTCGTCGTCCAGCTCGGCCGAGCTGTTGCGGTAGAAGCCCAGGCGGCAGTGCTGGCAGTGCTGCCCCCGCGTGTTGTGCTTGCAGCTCACGCAGGTCACCACGTTCAGAAAGTCGATGTAGCTGCAGCGGTTGGAGTGCCCGTAGCACTCACAGTCTGCGGAGAGGACGAGAGACCTGGGGAGCTGGGCTGGGCACACCCTCCCTCCCGCTGGGCGGAGGAGAGGAGCCACACCGGGGGATGCTCGGGTGGAATGTCATGGCCACTGCCCACGCAGGGCTGGGCTGGGCAGGATGAGTGCACTCAGTGGTGGCTGTTCTTCACCACCGTGGGGGCATCAGGGCTGGAAGTCATCGCTCAGAGAGTAGAGCAGGGTGAGGGTCTCTGTCCCCTTGGGGTGTGGAGCCAGACCCTGGCAATCCCAGGACATGATGTCTTGAATGGGCTGCCCAGGGAAGTGGTGGATTCTCCATCCCTGGAGGTTTCTAAGATGAGGCTGGATGTGGCACTTAGTGCCATGGTCTAGTAACCACGGTGGTAATGGAACAAGGGTTGGACTTGATGATCTCAGAGGTCCTTTCCAACCTGGCTGATTCTATGATTCTTTCAGGAACTGCATAATTGTGGGAGCAGGCAGTGAAGTAATTAGTCAGGTGCTAATTACACAGCTGCCTTGTTAATGAGCAGAGCTGGGTTTGGCTCTGGGGAGGCTGCAGGACCCATGAGGAGCCAGTCTGGGGTGCAGAGCCCTGGTGAAGCTTTTGCCTTGCTGGGCACAGAGGGCACTGGCCCATGGGATGGAGCTGGCAGAGGGTGCTCAGGTGGACCTGAAGCTGCTGTATGTCCAGGTAAAACCTTGCTGTCTCTGGCTTTTTTCCCACTGTGTCCCTTCTCAGCACACCCCTTGTGTCTCCCAAGCCAATGCTGCTTGAGAAGGGTGATGACTCTCAGGTTAAATGCTTAAAATGAGTCTGTGCAAGGCAGTGTGGCTTGGGTGGGGTCCTTCAAAAGCTGGTGGACAGGTGTGTAAAGGTTTGAAGCAGGGCTGCCTGGCACAGCACTGCCTGAAGGCTGCTGGTGGGGTGGGAGATGCCGTCACTTGGCCAAGCACTGCTCCTGTCCCCAGGGCTGACCTCTCTCTGCTGTGGGCACATGTTAGAACACAACCAGCCAGGCTGAATTTGTAGCCAGAGGAATTGCATGATGTGGTTCTTGTGTTTGTTTTTTGTTACCATGATCTGGGACGGTGACAACCTTGCAGTGTCAGATCCAAGTGCTGGATCTTACTGGGAGTTTAAAAGGATAATGCAGGAGGAAAGGAGATGACTTGGTTCCCTTATGTCCCAGCTGTCCTGGTCAGGAGGTTCCCAGCCAGCATGGGCAGGGAATAATGTGAGAAGAAATAGTGTCATCCAAGTCTGAGCTTCCCCAGCCTTTGGAGAGGAGGAGGAGAAAAGCTCAGAGCTGGGACTTTGTTCCAGGCAAGTAACATTAAACATTCAAGGATGGCAGAGGGATGGGATGGAAGGGTGTGGGTTGCCATGCACATGCAACTGGAGAAGGAAACTTGTATCAATGAGGTGATGACCAAGGAAGATGAAGCAGGGCAGAGGTTTCCCCATGGTTCACAGCTGCCTGAGGAGGAGCTGGCAGTCTGTTGTAATCTTGACCTGCTGTGAAACAACTTCTGCCTCATCAACCAATATCCAAAGAATTTCAGCTCAAATTACTGTGTCTGCAATTCCCAAGTGTTGTTGCAGTCTAGGGATGCACTCCTACATACAGCTGACAGCTAACCACGACTTGGATAGCCAGACCCTCCCCATGCTCTCCATGTCTGAGTCTCTTGGACCACATCACCTGAGTGAAGACAAGGAGCCCTGGAGCACCACCCTCTCTCCTCTTACCTCTGTATGATTCGATAGGAGCCACTGGGCCAGAGTTTGGTTTGAGCCGGATGAGTTTTGAGCTCTTTGAGGATGCTTAAGAGAAATCAGAGACACACTTTTTCTCACTGCTTAACACCACGAGCAGCTCTGCCACAAGAACAATGCCAAGCCAGGAACACCCCTCTCTATTTCTGCACCAGGAGCTGGGAGCTGCTAAATTCCTCCTCTTCTTCTCCCCTCCTCGAAGTTTGATGCATGAAAAACTCCATGCGCGGCTCTATTGCAGAGCTGGGAGGAGCTACTCACACATCTTCCTCCCCACTTTATGCACCTTCAGTGGTGTGGATTGGGTTGGTTGGGACAAGGATCTACAAGTCTAAACAGCTTAAAACCAACATCTACTGTGTTTGGTGGTGGTCACCACTAAAAAGCTGCGAGGAGGAAAAGTGCTACGGAGGTGGGATCTGGCAGGGGGTGCTACAGGGTCCCGCAGAGCAGGTGCTGCCCCAGCCTGGCCCGTCCCCAGCAGCACATACCTGTTTTTTTGCCGTGCCTCTTGCCTGCAGAGTGTGCTGTGCGCCCTGCTTTGCTCTTCGGAGCCGCTACGCCAGAGGACAAAACACGCCTGAGCGCTGTGGTGGGCAGAGGGCTCCCAGGGCCAGCCCAGTACGGCTGGGCTGGGATGTTTCCTGGGGGCAAGGGGCTGCCCCAGCCGGGATAGGGCTCTCTGGGGGCTGTGCTGCCAGCCAGACCCCCGTCCCACATGGAATGACCCAGCGCTGGGGGTAAAGGCCATCGAGCTGATGGCGTTTGGTTGGTGCTTGGGGGGTTTTGCGCTTTGGTGACCCCAGTGAGGGGCAAGGTGGAGCAGCACTGAGGTCCCACAGGGTGTTTGGGAAGGGGTCTCGCTGTTTATTTGTGGAACACGAGCCCTTGCAAGCGCTGTGGGGCTCAGGGAGGCGCTGGGTGGGCACTGCCAGCTACAACCACCTGTGTCAGTCACGTCCTGACAGCAACAGCCCTCAGTGAGAAGGGGGTCATGACTCTGAGGAGGCTCCACGGGCTGTTGGGAACAGGGTGATCTGCTAACAAGGCTTGGCCCTGATGGGCCAGAGCAGCCCATCAGCCCAATTAACCTTGCCCAATTGACTTTGGCCATGGCATAAAACTCCTTCCCAAAGAAGCCCATGGGCTCTCCCAGCCCCAAACATGTCTCCAAAGAGACCTCCATGGGGCTGGAGGAGCAGAACTGAGCTGAGATGGACTCTGCAAGAAGGAGACTAGATTATTTGATGGTCATGCTGAGGACAGGTGGGTTGTCCTGGCCTATGGCACTGAGGGAGAAACCTGTCCTGATCCTGGGGACGGGCACAGCCTTACCTCGCATATTCTTGGGAGGGTCTGGGGGCTTCAGCTTGCGTCCAAGTGCTGCTGTGTTTGGTGGGTCATCACGGGTGGCATCAGAGAGAACATCAGATTTAACACAGATCCCCCCTTGTTTGCTTACAAAGGTGGCAAAGGGACACTGGAAGCTCTAGGCAGGTCTCTAGGGTAGGTGGGCGGAGCCGTATCTGGTTGAGGATGTGCTGAAGCAGGAACGAGAGACAAAGTCTCCTGAAAATTAGCATTTCTAAGCGTGAAGAGAGACAGGGAAAGTGTTCCTAAGGGGAGGCTGTGGGAGCTGCTGGGTGGCTGAGTGTTGGCATGTGGTCTTTACATTGCCCAAGCACGGAGAGAAGCCAAATCTGCAGACCACTGTCAGGACTCAGCACAGCCCTCCTGGTTCAGCACAGACTGTCAGCACCACCCAGCCCTGATGGCTGTGGTGTGGCTCTATCCCTTGTTACTGCACCAAATGCAGCTTTGTCTCTCTGTGAGGCTAGAGACAGGCCCAGGGTGCCCTGTTCTGCACTGGAAGTGATGCCAGTGTCTACAGCAGGAGCAGCTACAGGATCTTGGGTGGGAAATGGGAGCTGAGCACCAGTGGGCAGCTGCTGAAGTGTGTGCTGGTGGGAACCCTGAGGAGAAGCTTCAGCCTCGACAGCCAGTGTGAAACCTCCCAAGGTTTCCACCAGGAGCAGCTCACCTTAGGCAGTCACTCAGGAGAACAAGAAGGCATCTATGCTCTAGACAACACAGGCTTATCCATTTACAGAGTGATTCTGCTCTACAAACAGGCTCTGGTCTCGGGAGATGACAGGATTTCCATGATCCTCTCCGTTCACCCCAGCAGCAAGCTGTGAACAATCCCTTCTACCACTTACCATCCTCATCTTTCATGTACACGACTAAACCCCGAGGCTCAAAGCAGCCTCACCAGAGTCCCAGCTGCGTGCAGGGCACAGACAAACCCCGAGCTTTTTCCCAGATGGAGGAGGAGAGAGGCATGGAAAGCAGAGGTTCAGAGCTGGAAACTAAAGCGTTCTCAGAGCACCAGGAGCTGGTTCTCACTGGTAGGATCCAGCTCAGCCACTGAGTGGCTCCTACCTTCTGCTCCTGGGCCAGCCTGGGCCGGGGGAGAGCCCACCTGCAGCGGGGCAGCCGCCGACAAGTCGGTGTAGTCTTGGAGTGATCAGAGGGGAAAGTTGTGTTACTGGCTGTGCTGGGAGGGCTGGTGTCCCACGAGCAGCCCTGCACAACCCCGAGGGGGAGCCAGAGCCCCAAACCAAACACCACAACCCTGCTGCCCGTTCTCAGCTCAGCTCAACACACAAGGGTTTGCTCTTGTGTTTGTGTCAGCACCTGCTCTGCACCCCTTTGAAATAACAGCGCTGAGAAACAGCACAGGTGTCTTGGGACGGAGGCACCAAGTCCTGGTTCCTAATCCCAACTTCCAGGCCTTCCCTCAGGCTCTGCCCTTCCCTCAGAAAATGCCAGTTTGCAGGGAAATTAAACCAGCAAGAAATTTATAGCTCACTTGTTTGATTTCCCTGCAAACCCTCACCCCCACTGGCTCCATCCCCCTCCCCAGCTCCTCAGTATTGGTAACAATCTTCAGGTTTGCTAGAAAACAAACCAAGGACTAAAAATTTTAAAAGCCATATTATTAATTTCGAGCTCCAGTTGGGTAACATAAGGAGGAGGAGGAAAAAAAAAAAATCAAAAAAAAAAATCTCTTGATCCTTGCCAAGTTTCAAAGGACAAACCCGAGTAGGAGAAAAATGTGATTTCCCAGCCTTGTCAGGGGGATGATAAACAATACAGAATGAAAAAGTAAAAAAAAATAATTTTTTTAATGACGAGCTCTAAGAGAAGGTGATAGACATTGTCCTTTTCAGCTGGAAAGTGGAAACCAATTGATATTAATATGGTGTTAAAGAGAATATGAAAAAAGCCCGGTGCAAATTGGCAAGGGTTTAATTAGAGTCACAATAAAAAACAGCCCTGGAGGCATTTTGCTTTTTAGTCATTCACATACACCTCCACTCAATCACATTTACAGAGCCAGGAAAATTATTAATGCTCATTATCCTGAGAACCTTTCCCTTGCAGCTCAGGGCCATAATGGACAGTTTTACATTTTGGGAGGGGGAGAGACACGTTTTGCCCCCAGACCCAGGTCGTACAAATGGGAAACAATGGGCAGCTCTGATGGAAATCGCTGTTCTTGGTGGGTTTCTGGAGAAGTGGAACAAACTGAACCAAGAAGTCACACTTCATAGCAAAAACCATTGGGGCAAACAGTGCTGGGGGTAGTGGGAGGCCCTGAAAAAGTCCTGCTCAAAACATAAACAGGGGTCCCCTTTCTGCAGGACCTCCACAAAGCCAGGCTGTCAGGAGCTCGTAACCATCAAGCAGGGCTCAGGTTCGTTCTGTTTTTCCCAGAGGTGAACTGGCACTGCTGAAACTGCCACAAATCAGAGAGGGGGGGGGAAGCTTATTTTTTTTGCTTATTTTGAACACGGGAAAAATGTAACAAATGGCAAGGAAGAATCTGACAGGCTTCAAGGAAGGTTTTGAAATAACAGAACCGCAGAAGGCAAAGGAGAATAGCACTTAATTCATCCTCCTTAGGGTAACTCTGCAGTTTCCCTTTCTTCTACCCATTTTGGCAGCCTCAACTGCCTTCAGACCACAGGCCTTGCCCATGAACTCATTCTTCTCTCCCCTCTCACCGCACAGCAGGCGACAAAAGCATCCTCCAAACACGACCACAGCTCCACCTTGACCACGAAAAACACCACGAGCAGCCAAAGGAAGCAGATGTCTAGCAGATCCATGCAACCCAGAGACAACCCAAGTCTAATCTACTCCTCTAAGCCTACGTGCAGCATTGCTGCTACCCACTAGTGTGCGGAGGCACAAAGGAGAAGGGGGAAAACACATCGGGATGGCTTTAAATACCTGCTTTTTTCTGGGTTTCTGTCACGGGCACAGAGGCAGCAAACTCAGAGGCTGGTCTGATGACGCTTGCTTATGGTGGGAAGAAGAAATTCAGAGGGCAGAAGACAGTGTGTCAGTTAGAGGGTGAAGCGGTGCGGGGATGGGGCAGGGCTCTGACAGGACTTTTTTAAGTGCCTGCTGACTGAGGTGGCTTTAAAGCAAGGAGGGATTTTAATGCTTCTAAAACTCAGAAAGGGGGTGACAACAGGGTGTCTCACTTTGGGATTCTGACCCTGCTTGGGGTTACTGTGTCTCCTGCAAACGTGTGTCCCACCAGGAGCTCGAGGGGTCACCTCTTTAACAGGATGTTTCCCTTGAGGTCCAGGTGAGTTAGATCTGCACCCTGTGGGGATGGTCATAGTGTTTAAAGAAATACTTTACGTTTTGCAGGGAGGAGGAGGAACGTCTCTGGCCAAAAGCAGATCAGAATTAAGCTGGGCCTTGATTCCCTATTGCTGGTCAAGGGCACAGGTGGACCTTTGTCATCAAATCCAGCATGTTGCCCAGGTAAGAACAGGTCCCTGAGCTGCTGGGTGTCCCTGGCTGCCTTCTTATGTGGGACAGCCCCTCCAGGGACTGTCACCACTCTGTGGTGGGACCTGGCTGTGCAGAAGCACAGATGGGGATCTGGATGGGGACAAGGAGCTTGGAGCTCAGGCCTGACTGTATCCAGGCAGGGATCTGTCAGCTGGGCTGCCATCTATTAATTTTGTCCCTTGCCCTTAGTTAATGAAAGCATGAGGAAAACATTTTCTCTGGTCAGGAAGCAGGTTTTGGAGAAGGAATAAACCCCAAGGTGCATGATGTCTCTCAGGTCCCTCAGAGCAGTTTGGCAGCAGAGATTTCCCACCCCCAGCCCCACGGATGCGTCCTGCCCACGCCAGATGTACGACACAAGGCAGAGCACTGCAAGTCAGACACAAGAGAGGCACTAAGCACATCACCCACATGTACACAGCTAAAAAACAGCCCTAAAATGTTGCTACAGGAGAGCATGGATAAAAATCAAATGACCCCAAGCATTTGGTGTGGATGGAGATGTGACCACTGCCCCTGCTGGGGCCGTGCTGATGGTGTGAGCACCAGGCAGGGGTGGTGGATGAATCTCCTCCTGCACAAGTACAGCATGGATCTGGGTGAGGAACACTTCTTAACAGAGCTGAGACTTCTACTTTGTTTCCAGGGTCACTCCAACTCCATGGAAGTTGGTCATAAGCTCTCAGCTTCCTGATTAACTCCCCAAGCAGGGTACTTCCATGAATATATCTATATTTGCATAAACATGCAATCAAGTTTCCTCATCCCTTTGACTGGCTTCTGGCAGCTCCCCCAGACAGACTGTTACTAACATACTGTGGGTGTAAAACGTCCTCCTGGGAAATATCAGGCCCTGAAAGCATGGCAAGGGGAGGAATGCGTGTCTAATTCCCCTGTGAGAAGCTTAAAAAAAATGTCCTGCTGTTAAGTTTTATCTGCTCATTTCCAAAAGACAAGCGAAGACGCCGTCTCCTTGTTCATGGGGGGAGGGAAGGAGGAACCCCCAGGAAAAGGACAGAAGTTTTCCTCCACGGGGTGATTTTGGAAATTAGGAAAGGATGTTTCTGGCACGTGTGTGTGAGTTGCAGCCCCACATGCTCCCTGGCTGCTTGTACAGTAGCTGCCTGGGGAATGTTGGCAGGAGGTCAGGGATGGAGCAGGATGGGGTGCAGTTCCCCTCTCCTTCCAGAGAGATGTGTGGTTTAACTTTATTATGGGACAGTAAAATCTTCCTTGCCTTCCTGCCCTGCCTTGTGGTGGAGCTGTAAGAGAGCACCTCTTGCAGCTGTGCCAGCCCTGTGCAGGACAGCATTGCCAAGTGGCTCTAGGACGGACGGATTTTGAAAACCTCCTGTTTTTAAAAAACAAGAAAATTGAGAGGAAAAAAAGGGGAAAGCAATGGTTCCCCCACATCCAGTCCTGGCTTTACTTCTTGCTGTCCTGATGGTAACAGAGGGACAGCTGGTGAGGTGGGACGGCAACCCATGGGGTGGTTGTCTCTTGACTTTGAGGTGGACCTGCTGTGGCTGTCCCTGCTTACAGGGACCATAAACCTTGCTCCTGGCTCATGTTGGACAGGAGCTGAATAGAGATAACAGCAAACCAGAGCTGCCTGGAGGCTGGGAGATGTGAAATGAGTCAGGGTGATTTTTATCCATGTCTCTTTATCATCATCCTACAGAGCAGATATCCAGGGCCACCGACACGGCAGTCCCATGGGAAGCAGCTGAAAAGAGGAGCTGGGAAGAGTCCTGGCCTCCAGGTGAGGCAGCGAGCGTGGCACCCACCTGGCTGGGTGGTGGTGGCTGGTAGGGGCGTGGTGGTGGTGGTGGTGGTGGTGGTGGTGGTGGTGGTGGTGGTGGTTGAGGTGGCGGTGGTGGTGGTGGGCGTTGTTGTGGTGGTCGTTTTTGCAGTGGTGGTTTTTGGGGTGTTTACCCGCTGCGGTCGCTCATACGCTGACAAGCAAAGACAAGAGGTGGGAGGCACTTACTGGGGGGAATGGAGGGTTTCCTTGCCAGCCTGCACTCCCACGAGGCTGCTGCTGCTGGGCTGAACTGGTGACTGATTTCTCAGCACGGTCACAACTGGGGCACCGAGAGGATTAAGGCGACGGCAGCTCGATGACACACATGAGTGTGTGTGTGTGTGTGCAGGGGCTGGAGGCTGTGCCTGTATCAGCTTACTCTGTTGGTGCAGATATTGGCTTAAATACTTACAGCTCTATCATAAACTAATTGCCAATTAAGCTGAAAAGGGGAAATGAAGGCATGTCTGGGCAGGGATGGGGTGAGGTGCAGGCGGAATGAACTCCCAGCCCAAGCTGTGCTTCCACTGCCCAGTGTCCACGTGCCCAGTTGTGCTCCTTACCCAGCACCATTCCCTCCTGACACCCCCAAACTACTCAGCACCATCAAAACCAACCAGGATCACTGGCACCTGTTCATTTCCACTGGCACCCTGCAAATTAAAGGATGGTTCGGGATCAGGGAGCCCCCGCAGAGCTGGGCAGGAGCCACCCTGAGTGTGGCATCACAACAGCCCAAACTGAAATAACACTCAAACACAAATTCCTACTTAACTTACACCTGCTGCCCTCCTGTCCTTGTTTGTCCCACTGCTTCATGCAGATTATCATGCTTAATTTCATAATAGCCCTGAGCTAGTTTAAATACTTAATTTAGGTCACTTCTAGTCTCCTGTGCAGGCTAAATAATCTCTCCTTAACTGGCCTTGGACACAAATCCCTCCTGTCCACCTCCTGCACATCGCTCCCAGCACCCCCAAAGCTTCTCCCCAGCAGCAAATTTTGATGGGAAACACTTTCCAGGGAAACAAAGGTAGAGCTGAGGATGCCAAGCTTTGTTAAGGGGGGAAAAAAAGTTATCAAAATGGTTTTGACCAGGAAGGTGAAGAACATTTTGGACTGTTAAAACATTTATTTTTTCTAATTCTAAATTACTGAAGGGAGACTTTTAATTTTCATTTGAAAATTTTAAGCATTTAACTGCTTAAAATCTAAATATGATTCATTTACCCAGAAAACCTGTCCTCCACTTGTCAATTAGGTGCATTTTTCTTAATTGCATTTGCATTTCTCTGAAACTCTTTCTCCTCCAATTCTTCCCACTTGCCTGCAAACCAAAGAATTCATTATTCATTCAGCTCTCTGATTTGTTTCTTCTGGAGGGGAATTCTGAGCCACAGAATTCAAACCCAGGCTTCTGCTTACCCAAAACTCCAGGCTCTTTGATATCAAACTACCTCCAGCTTTGTTAAATAAGGAGTCCTCTCATCCCATCAATCTTGCAGCAGAAATCCCCACTGAGCTCTGCTGCCTTTGCTGCCGACACTTCACAGACGTATGTTCATACACATACACGTGTACATGCAGATGTACACATGCTCTATATGTTTTTTTACTGATAGCCCAAGGTGACCCAGGCTGGATTCTATGCCAAATAATTCACACCCAGCTCCTTCTCAGAGCAGGATCCTGCAATCCTGGAGGGGTGGGGGGAGTTCACAGCGAGCGCTGGTGATTTTGAAGAGTCTTTTTTTATTTCCTTTCCGGCTGCCATACTAACGAACCTCATGGGGGGAAACCATGCCAGAGGAAGAGGCAAAATGAGGCTCCTGAAGTCAAAGGAGGAAAATGTAAGACTCTTTGACAAGACAGAAAATGAGGCACAATTAGGGAAGACTTATTGCCTGGAAAACAATAATGGACAAAAAATAACCATATTTCTTTCTCCTAGTGACATCCACAAGGACCATGCACCGAGGTGTTAAATGCCAGCATTTCAGTTTGGGTTTTACTTACTGCCAAAGGCTGAGCCTGCAGCTGCACCTGGAAAAAAAGAAGAAGAAGCCCAGTCACTGGAAGCAGGGCACCACCAACTCTCTTACCAGCAGGTCACACAGACACACAACCTTGGACCAAACAGCAGTTAATTAGTGGGGGTCTTGCTCATGGGCACATCAGTTTGCTGCAACAAACAGCTTAAAAGCTGCTTTTGTCAAACCACAGAAGCAACCAGACAGTGCTGTCTGGGGTCTTGGCATCTCAAGCCTGTCGTGTGGGGAAGGAAAACCAGCGTGGCCTTTGCTGATGGTTTTTTCTCTTAACCATTCCTTGACCTGCCCTTAAAGCCCAGCAAAGGACAAGCACATCCTCTGAGGCTCAGTGGGCTAAGGACAAGCTGTAGGGACTGAACCAGTTCTCAGCGAGCAAGAAGGGCTGGACACTCTTCCCACTGCAGCATTTGCTCCACAGGACACTGCAAAGGCACCAGCTCCAAAGTCCATCCAAGGACCAGCTTCTGGCTTTTGGCACCCAGGAGATGAGTGGCCCTGCTCCTCCCTGCTGTGGGTAAATCATGGAAAGTCTCAGCTCTGCATGAATATAAAGCACAGGAGCAACAACAGAAGAGGTAGGACTACCAAGAGGAGAGGGCTTCAGAGAACTGCCTCTGCTGCAGAGGAAGAGGATGTTGATGTGGGGAGGAGGAAGCAGCAGAGAGAGTTGGGGTGGGGAGGAGGAAGAAGACTGAGTGACAGATGGAAAGAGAGATGAATGGGAGAAGAGCAAGCAGAGGAGAAAGAGAAATAGGAAGAGACACAAGGAACGGAGGGGAGGGAGAGAGACAGAACAGCATGTCTGTGCCTGTCAACACCAGAAACTCTCCCAGGCTCCTTTGAAGCAATGCAGCCGCTTGGTGGGAGCTGACAAGCTCGTTCCCTTTCAAAGAACCTGCTCGTCTACCAGCCCTGGCACACACAAAACATTCCTGTCACGGCCTTCGGAGCCCGAATTTCAGCTTTGATCATCTTAAAGCACATGAATCTTTCAAAAAAATTTGGGGGGTGGGAGGGAAAAGGTTCTCTTTGGCAACGCTCAAAGCTGCTGCTTGAAAGGCTGGAGCGGCTACCGTGGCTCCGTGACATTTAAACAAGTCTGCTAATGTGGACTGGACAGAAACCCAGGAGGAACCGGCCCATCTGTGATGTTTCCTGCCCCAACTCCCCTGCTCGAGCGATGGTGGGGATGGATCCTCCATCCCGCCTGCGCGCCTTTGCTTCTGTCAGAGCCTTGTTCCAGCAGCAATTGGATGAGACTGGAGCTGTGCAGAGGGACCGGAGCTCGCGGCGCTTGCCTGGAACACTGACGTGCACAGAACGGGATCCAGGAATCAACCTGCACTGCTACTCCTACTCCCCAGCCAGTGCTCTGCTGTGGTTAACAATGCTTTCTCTAACGGACAATAATTTGCATTGCCACAAAGCCATGGACCTGTATCTTGGCCTGAGGTCATCCTCCCTATTCCTGACCATCATTTAGGCTCATCGCTCATCTACCAGCAGCCAACACACCACCTCTGCATCCACCAGATCCTCTTTCATGTCTCTGTGTACAAAGACAGGGGTAAATACCCGCTTCCCTTTCGAAAGCTGAGCATCCTGCACCGATTCCAGTCAGAGAAGGACATGATGAGACCCTGCTCCCATCTGTGGGTGTTGTGCAGCCCAAGGTGGGAGTGCAGCCAGGGCTGGCTCCCTGCAGGTTACTTACATGCATTGGGGGACCCGTTAGGGAGAGGCAGGTAGGATCCTGCTCGCCAAGACCGGGAGCGAAAGTTCTTCTTGCACTTGCCGCAGTCCTGCCCCGTGGTGTTGTGCTCACACTCGCACTGCAGGCTGCCCTCTTTGAAGGTGCACAGGTTAGCGTGGAGGTTGCATTTACACCTGGAGGAGGAAGACAGGGAAGAGCTGTCAGGTGTCACTGCTGCTCCTCTTTGCCCCGGTGTAGTACTGAAAATGTAGTGCTGAAGCCAGGCTGGTCACCCCTTTTCTGTTCCTTCTGCAGGACTTATCACTGAACTCACCTGTTTTCCCCAGGTATGTGCTGGAGTTATGATGTCCAATTTCTTGCCCAAGGTGCATCTGCTGTCTCTAGTCCAAGATGAGAGATGCTTTCCTCCCACCATCCGACTGCAGTAGCACAGACTTTAATGGTAAGTCAATGTCTCCAGCTGAGACTCCAGGAAGGAGTCACTCACATTTCAGGGCTGTTACAGAAATCTGGGTGATTACCCTTTTACTGGGAGGAAGTCTTGGACTTTAGATGAAGGAGCATGGCCAGCACTGGTGGGACTTGGCCCTTGCCCCTTGTGATAAAGTCAGCAGTGTTTCCTCCTGTGGTGTGAAGCTGCACAGCACAAACCCTTTTCCCCAGCCTGCTGTGACCAAAATAACACAGAGAGCAAGTCACCATCAGAATGCGCCTCATCAGAGAAGGCAACAACTAAAACCACTATTCAGCAATTTGCAAACATTAAGAAACTTTTAATGAGCTGTAGTGCAGTATGCAGGGAATAATTATCTCTGTGCACAATAATTCCTGTTGCTCACACTCCGGAGGTGACTTGCGCAGAGCACAGAGACTGAGCCCATAACTCACACGTGGCTCTGGTGACTCCTGGGCCCGAGCTCAGGCCATCAGACAGAGACTTTGGGGACCAAAACATCTCATTTCATTCCAGACAGTCGATCCCTAGCACAGCCCGATGCTTTGTGCGATAATTTACACTCTCAGAAGCAGAACCATTAGGAAAACAGTGACGCTGAGCCTTTTGTGCACGGGTGAAATCTGATGGGGCAACACTTTGTTTTACAGGGCTGAAGAGATGCAGAGCTGAGGGAATGAGCCACATGCAGAGAAGACAGAGGAAACATGGCCTGCTGCTCCTTGTGCTCTATCTGCACTGGGATAAACAGCCTGGATTAGGCTGGGAGCTGGGAGCTGGTGCTGCGCATGCCCCCCAGCTCCTGGTGCCTCTCCCCCTCTCCCTTGGAGCCCCCAAAGAAGCTCCCCAGCCACCTGCCTGACACACCAAGGCTGCCTTTGCTGTGCTCTCCTCACGCATGGCTGGATAAGCTGACCTCATGTATGATTTTTCCCCCCCCTCCCCTCCCTGTCCTTAATTCTAGCAAACCCCGCTCAGAGGCTCAGCATAAGCTGGATGAACGATCTCTCTCCCCATCTTACAATCCTGCCCTGTCTCTGACCAAGCAGAGGAGGGAATTTTGCAGTTTCTAAAAGGGAGGAAGGAAGAAAACGTGTTCTAGGGAGCAGAGGCAGACACACTCAGCATGCTCCACTTGCAACTGTGTGTTAGTGAGAGCTGGAGATGCCGTGTCACGGCTGAAAGCATTAACAGCCTCTGAGCATTGGTGCTCTGGGAGCAAGTCACAAATCCAAGCATCCAGGGGGAGGAAGTGGCTTTGGCTGGTACCTACACAGGAGGGAGGCTGAATTTCAGATGCTCCGTGTCCCCTCTGCCTCTGGTGAGGAAGGATTTTGGCTGAGCTGTCCCAGCCCTGTGGCAGAGGTGATGCCCAGCCCCGGAGTGCTGCAGAGCCTGGCTCTGAATTATTCAGCGTCCACACAGCGTGGCCTCCTTCTCTCACTTCAGAACGAGCAGACGAGAGCAAAGCAGGCAAGATAGTGGGTTAAAGCAGGTCAAAGCCTCACTGCTGCTGCTCTGGGCCCAGCCTGAACAGAGCAACAGCTTCTGGGAGCTGCAGCTCTCCTCTCTCCTCCCTCCTCCTGTGGTGGGAGCGAGGGGACGGGACCAGCTCCAGGGCACAGTGTCACAATCCAGCTGAAGGCAAGTTTAAGAGCCCCAGGGGAGTGGGTACGAGGAATGCAGGGACTGTCATGCCCCTTGTTTTCCCTGAGGGTTGGGATGATGTGGAGGGTAGTGCTTGGCTCCAGTCCTTGACCCTGCAAGTCTCACAGTGGGAACAGCAGCCCTGGGGGCCCACCACCTGGTCTCTGAGGTGGCCTGGGACAGCCTCAATAACCCATAACACACATAGCACATCGTTGCTCCTGGCATCCCCCAGCAAGAGCCAAGCAGATGTTTTGAGGTGCTTCTGGCTCCAAGCTGCTGCAGTGCAGGAGGGTGAGACCTGTCAATTTGGCTCCAGCTACAAAACCTTCACCAAGCAGTGGGACCCAGACTTCTTGCTCTAGGGAAAACAAGAGCAGTCAGATGTGTCTGCTCATACACACACACTGCTCACTTGCTGCTGAGGTGGGCTGGGAGCTGAGCACCAGCTCCTGGGACAGCCCCAGCTGCCTCCTGCCCTGGCCAGCGGGATGGAGATGGGGTGGGTGCTCAAGGACATGCCCCAGCCACTGCATGTAGGTGTGATGGACCTCTGCTCTTCCCAGAGAAGATCCTCACTTCCTAATTGGTGTAAACAAGGAAAACTAAGTAAAGAGAAAGCAGAGGCAGACATTCACCTTGCCTGCCTGGGCCCAGGTCACTGATTTTTCTCACTCGCCCTTTGCCACCGTGCAGAAGTTTTTTTATCCAAAGGATCAATTTTACCAGGGAATTGCTTTCTGAATTTGACCTTTGAGGATCATCAATCTAAGCAGGGAACTGTAACCCCAGCAGGCTGACCCCTCAGCACAGCACTTTTCAGCCCAATCAATCAGGCTGCATTATTTAATGGCCAACAGCCGAGCACTGTTAGCCAGTCCTGATTGCCAGCCCTGTTTTGGGGAGAAGGTTTTTGCATCCCAGCCTTCCTGCTGCTTGGGCTTAGAGGCTCATCTTCAACCCCTTCGTCAGGCTTCTCTGCCTCCTTCTCTGGGCCTGCAGCCCAAGGACATGTGCTTGTTGATGGTCTGTGCACAGCCAAGACTCAGCTGGCAGAGACTGGAGTAAATGGCATTAGCCCAGTCCCCTGGGTGGGAGCTGCTAGTCCTGCCTGCCTCTGCCCGTCTTCCTCGGCGGCCAGCCACGGCAGGAAGGAGAGGATGAAGGGAAAGGTTAGGAGCTACTTAGCAGTGAGGCTTAAATAGCAGGCTCGGGGCAGACACCTGCGCCGTGTCCTGCAGCGATGGCCCCGCTCCAGCCCCGGGGCTGCTCCAGCAAAGTGCTGGTTGCAATATGGTCTCTCTGGCTCTGGAGGGCTGAAGAGCCAGGAGTGTTTCTCCTCCAGCTCGTGGGTCAAGGCACACACTGACAGTGCTGTTTCCCAGTGAGCATTCAGAGCCCACGGTGGTGAAGAGCCCGAGGAGAGCAGCCCCAGAGCACACCTGTGAGCAGCACCCACGGCCTGGGGACACCCATCCTGCACTGGGTAGCAGGTCACACAACTGCATTGTGCATTAAACAGAGACTGGCTCACACTGTTCCCAGCAAGGGAGGCTGGGGCACTGTGTGGCCCAGGACATTACAGTTTGCACAATGGGGTATTTAGGAGCTTATTTTAGTGCAGTTGTTCAGCTGCTGCCTTTCCTCAGAGTGGTGCAGTGCGATCTGATGCTGCCAATGCCTCCACCAGGGAACATCACGGAGTGTGGAGCGCCAAGGAAAGTTTACAGGAAAGTGTCCTTCTTTTTTTTCTTTTCTTTTTTTTTTTTTTTTCCAGCCATAAAGAACAGTTTCCTGCATTTCTCCAAGTCAGCATCCTGGAGGTCACAGCAGCGAGCGGCTGGAGAGGTGTCTGGTGCCAAGCCCACATGTGAGGGAAGGAGATGCCCATGCAGAGGAAGGGGGTGAGTGCAGAAGCCGTGCTGGGATTGGGAAAACAGCTCCTTTCCCTGAGCTTTCATTAATAATGACTTTTGAAGTGATTTTAAAAAGTCCCCCCAGCCCTTTGTTTTCCTTCCAAGGATTCTTATGTGTTTTACAGCCTCTTTTTTTGTCCATAACCCCACTTGAAGAGCATGGAAGTAAGGCAGAGAAAGGCAAAGAGCACCTCCTTATCCCTCTCCCTCCCCATGGGGCTGAGACAGTGTTGGGGTGCTGGCACCCCCCTTCAGGACTGATGCAGTGACCCCACTGCTGTGTGGGGTAGGGCTGGAGGAACCACTTGCTGGCTGGAGACCCAGAGAGCTGTTCTGTCCCCTTGCACCTTCCACCGAGTTCCCATGGAGACAACACTGCCCTGAGCTCCTTAAAAAATCCTGATACAGGACACGGAGCAGCAGAAGTCCACTACAGTGGGCTACCATCTCCTTTCCAAGTCTCCTTCCAGCCCAGCCTGCACACTGCTCTCCACCCTGTGCTCACCACGAGGATGCTGCCGTGTGTCCCCAGGGATTCTGTGGAGACTGGTCCCCTCCTGCTGGTTTCTGAGATGTTGGGCTCCTGCTTTTCACCCTTACCCGTGTGGCTTTGCCCCCCTGCTCCCTCTCTGCTCCCTGAGCTGGTGCTGGGGAGAGGCAGCGCTCAGAGAGCTGCTAATGACTGCCGGCCAAAGGAAGGCTTATCAGAGCTTCCCCTGAATTGTTTGCTCTCACTGTAATTGATGAGCCTTTAATGAGTCTCATGGGACGATGTGTTTGAAGGGAGCTCTTTCCTCTCCATCCCCAAGGAAAATGATGTTTCAACTGATCTCGGCTCTCGGGGAAACATGAATAACTCTTTTCCATCTCTCTATTGTCATCCCCAGCCGTTGCTCTCAGCACGCTCCAGCAGCTGCCTGGCCATCACTTACCCACTTTTACCTGCTCCTTTGCAACTGTTTTGGCAGCTCAGCAAAAGCAGGGAGCAAATCTTTTGGGCAAAGCATAACGGGTGCTGAGCTTGGATTGTTTCTGGCCCATCTGTGCGTGTGGAAGCAGGTAAAAATAGCTTCTAATGGCTGGGCCATGGAAGAAGCGCAGTCCCTTTGTGGGGAGCAGTTATATGAGGATTTGCCTTGCTGGGAGATTGCTCTGG